AGCACAACTTGGTCACGTGATTGGAGTAATTTTTAAATAATATTTTTTAATATTGAACTGATAATAGTTTTAAACTATTTGAAAATTTAACTTTTATAACCAGCTGGTTCACATTTAAGAAATTATATATTTGGAATAATTTTCCTTTAAAGTTTAATTCTAACGTTTGATAGGCCAATATAAAATAATATTTATTAAATAAAAACGATTATAAAGTATTAAAAATGTATTCTTTTAATTCGCCTAACAAATTTTCTAAAATCATAAATGGTTATATTAAATCTAATTTGTTAATTATAGACAAACCTGTTGTAAACTGTTAATATTTTTAATTCAAACAAATCAAATGACTTGTATTGAATGTAACTGGTTTATCTTAATGTAACTAGCATAAATGTAAACTGACTGCAGGCAAAACAACCGATTGCTTTAATAGAAAGTAATTGTTTTTTCAGTGACTTACTATACTTTACCTACGACCACTACTGTAAATACTAAAAAACACACCGTCTGCGATCAATGTAAGATTCCTAATTTACGTACGGTAAAAAAATCGCACAGCTTGGTAAAAAAATCGCAGAGTTTTCCTAGCAACTGCCTAGCAACGGTCAATACAAACAGTATTGTATTGACTGTTGCTAGACGGACGCTAGGAAAACTGTGCGATTTTTTTACCGTACGTAATAGGAATCTTACATTGATCGCAGACGGTGTGTTTTTAAGTATTTACAGTAGTGGTCGTAGGTAAAATATACATACACATAAATGCAAACATGTACATACGCATAAACATTCACAGGTAAGTAGTATGTTGAAGGTTTATATAGAGTACCAATACAAGCTTTTGTATTTTAACAGTTAAAGAAATCCATAACTGTTCCTCGATATCCACAGACGGATTATCGATTGTATTAAATTTATATTTGCTATTAATGTAAATCACCACACCCCCAGCATAACTTTCTCTATCTTTGCGGACTATACTATAATTATTCAAGCTGATAACATAAGTATGTTGGAATTTAACCATGATTCTGTTATAATAATTATGTCATAGCGACAATTTTTGACAAATTTTGTAAGCTGTCTAATTTTTGGTACTAATGATCTAATATTCAAATTTACTATATTAAAAGACATGTTAAAGCTCTACGTTCAATTATTATCTATGGCAACACAATAAATATTGTACGCTATAAATGTCTAAAATATAGACAGGAATATAATAATAATAATACAAGACATTTCATAGATATCGCGAGAAAGCTTTGAAATAATATAAAATAAAAACGAGTACAAATAGTAATAGATACAGCAATAGCAATGTGTGAGTTATATTACACTATTTTTTTAATTGCAGGAACTCCACACGGACGAATCTTAAATGAACGTTTTCTCCATTAGCTATGCGGCGTCTACTTTTTCTTTCATGTGTTTGAAATAATTCCTCTGATTTATAGTTTGATCGTAGGAAATATTGATATCAGGATAGGACTGTTTTATTTTGTTTCTACTTTTAAATAAAATCACATCATCCTTGCTCATAAAATATACCTTTATAGGCCGGTTCTTATTATCCCTGTCATTGCCCAATCTTTCAACCTTTAAATCTGTTGTAGTAAGACTTATGTCACTAACTTTCAGTACGTCGATTACTTTGTGATTATCAGAGACACCAAACTCTGCTTCGCAATTATAAATAATGAAATTGGAAGCTCGTCTTTCGCGTTCGGCAATTTCATCGATAACCTTCTGTATAAGCACTGGTTCTTCAAGACAACGCTTATTTTGTTTTAACTGGTTCATTTGAGTAGTTAAATCAATTACAGTTTCCTTTCACTCATGAATAAGTTTTATTAAAGATGGTAAACTTTTGCATTCATTGCAGGAAAATTTTAATGCAGGATCCTGACTTTTTAAGAGGTTAATCTCTGCCCTAGACAAACTAGTGCAGTCTGGGTGAAAAACTTCTTTATAGTCATCGCACTTTATTTGTTTACTGAGGACTTCTTTTTTTGCAAGCAAAACAAATCAACGACATTGATAAGAATTATCACTTCATCCGACAAAAAGAGACACTTTTATTAAGAATTAAACCTTATTAAAGGTATAAATAAGGCAAATGCAGTTATTGGCTACTATTACGAAGAAAACGAAACATGCAACTCACCAGAAATTTCACTATTAGTTGCAGTGCTGAATAAAACAATTTATAGTATTATTCTGGATGAAAAAAACACTATAATTCAATGATTTAGACACAGCAAACGGAAAGCGGCTTAACTACCACACATTCCAATACATAATATCTCCTCTTGTTTTCAAGATACAGAGCGACAAAATAAAATTTTTAAAATAGAATTTTTACGAAAATTTCCAAACGGTGCGAAATATTTTTATGAAATTTGGTATTCCGAGGTTTTTAAGAATGCCAAATACGCTGGTCTAACTATTTTTTATATATTTCATAGAGGGCGCTGGTTATGCTACATTCGTATTACATTTTAAGTTATAATTTTTTTAAGGTTAGGTTTTTTATTTTTATTAGATCAGCTAGGGTCTGTGGTAGCTAAGGAAAATTATTGACAAACAAAACAAGATTTTGCATTTGCAGAAAAATAAAACAAACATATTTTGAGGACTCATCCTTTTCAAATTCATTTATATCAGCAAGAATTTAAAATATATTATTTATGTTGCGACAAAAGTACATCGTCAACAAGTTGATAGCCAAAAAATTCTCTTTTTTTGTCGTACTATCACCCCCCGAATTTACGGAAGGTCTTTCTGAAACCCCCTGTATATAACAGTCGAAGTCAAAACTTACATGTGTGGAATTATGAACATCTGTAGTGGAATGTTTCACTATCATTATCATCACCATCATAATCATAATCATCATCATCATCATCATCATCATCATCATCATTATCGTCATCGTCATCGTCATTATTATCTTCATTATATTGCCACCGTCGTTATCATAATTTTTATTATAATAATGTCAGTATCATCATCACGGCATTACCACCGTCATAGTCATCATCGTCGAAGTGATGAAACTTCCATCGTCATCGTTATAATCGTCATCACCTCTATCGCCATGATTCACATCGTTATCATCGTCATCGTCTTCATCATAGCCACCATTGTCAATACCATTATCATGATCACTTTCATCATCATCAAGGTCGCCATATCATCGTCGTCATTATCTCCATCGTCATCATGATCATCGTCATCATCTTCATTGCCATAGTAATTTTCATCATTGTCATCATCATTCTCATCGTCACGTTTGTCATCCTCGTCATTAGCATGGTTATCATCATCGTCATTATCTTTTTATACTTAATGTATTTCAGGATATCTTAATCAAATTTCATAATTTATCATCTCGATTTTGAAAAACTTCGTTTATATTTTAAAATGTGTAATTTAGTTTTAGGTAAACAATTTATTCATTTGAGAAAGCATCAATTGTATTCCATACAATTGTAATGTGTACCCAACAATAGGTACTCTTTTTTTTGGAAAATGAATTTTCAGAAAAAAATCGAAGTATTAAATTCCACAACAACAATGTCTATTACAATTTTTAGAAAATTTGACCCTCAAAAAATTGTTGTAGACGACAATAAAAAATATGTCATCTTCTCTTATTTTTTATGTTAATTACTTGCATGTCTATAAATCAGAACACCAGGTATATTTCTTTTTTAAATTTATTTCATAAATGACTGAAATACTGAAATACCTAAATGTTCATATTTCAATATTTTTAAAATATACTTATTTGATGAATCTTATAGAAATATTTTTGCCCATTTGAAAAATAGATTGCAATATTGTTCTCAAAATTGTCAGCTACGTGGTAGTATAAACACTAATTTCTTTATACAGGGTGTCCTAAAGTATGGAAACAGCACAATAACTTTCGAAAAATACATTTTGAGGAAAAATGATTCAGACAAAAGATTTAGGATTTTACCTGGCTATTCAATGGTGACCCTAGATTTGACCTTGACTTTCAAGGTTATTTCAAGGTCAAGTTAATTTTTTCAAATAGGATGCCCTACTTTTGACCCCGGAAATGAAAAGAGCGGAAAATTTTACGTTCAGATATGTCCTTGACCATTTTCCGAATTTGACCTCTGATGGTCATTAAAGGTCAAATCAAGGTCACGCATGGTTTGGAGCGCTGTCTTGAAAACAACGGTTTGCAAACAAAATGACCATAACTAACGTTGTAGGATTTTTCCCTGGCTATCTGACGGTGACCCTAAATTTGACCGTGACCTTCACCTTCAAAAACCGCACTATATCAATTTTGGCAAAAATCGGTTGATTTTTTAAATCGCGTCCGCCATCTTGGATCCGCCATCTTGGACTAAAATTCTTCGAAAACAGATTTCAGATTTGTAGTCAGCGACCTCAAAACCCCCCCTATACCAAATTTGGTGTAAATCGGTTAATTTTTTGGAACCGCGTCCGCCTTCTTGGACTAAAATTCCTCAAAAACAGATTTCAGATTCGTAGTCAGCGACCCCAAAAACCCCTCTATACCAAATTTGGCGTAAATCGGTTAATTTTTTGGAATCGCGTCGGCCATCTTGGAAAATGGTCAAGGACATATCTGAACGTAAAATTTTCCGCTCTTTTCATTTCCGCGGTCAAAAGTAGGGCATCCCATTTGAAAAAATTAACTTGACCTTGAAATAACCTTGAAGGTCAAGGTCAATGTCAAATCTAGGGTCACCATTGAATAGCCAGAGAAAAATCCTAAATCTTTTGTCTGAATCATTTTTCCTCAAAATGCATTTTTCGAAAGTTATTGTGCTGTTTCCATACTTTTGGGACACGTTGTATATCAAAATATGTCATTATATGACATTTCTGTCAGAAATTTAAAAATTAACTATTCAAAATTTTGGTTATGGACTGGATTTCTTCTATTATCGGAGATACCGATACTTCATCACTTTGCTTTATTGTTGTAGCTGTGGTAATTTTAGGAGCTTTATACCTTTATGATACTTTCGCAAATAGTAACTCACTTTGCCTGTCCTACGACAATAATTTAAATAATTATGGGTATGGAGATTGTGGTGGTAAGTCATTCGGTTTTACGATAATCGCCATAACTAGAATAATTGTTTTATCAAAATTAATTGCAGGACCGTCGTCGTGGCATCAAAAGTTTATATCGGCCGGAGGCCAAAGGCAGTCTCCAATAAATTTAATCGCTAGGGGAAGCATATGCATTCCTTCAGAAACTGTGGATCCCTTGGTATTTTCCTGCGAGTTCCATGTGCCTCCATGTGAAATGAAACTTTACAATACAGGACACAATGGTAAATTGGTAATTATTTATACATAACCACCATTATTAAAGTTTTTAACTTAATGGATGGAAAATGCGCTTTTGTTAAAATTTTAATAAAACGATTTTTAATTAATAATTATTCAGTGAATTCAATAGAACCTTTTTACGAATGCGCATTTCCTTTTAATTGGTCATCAAATCCATCAGGCTTGGAGACCGATATAAGTCGTGAAAAGTAAATGGTACCTAATCATTGAGATTATGATACTGTTGTTGCCTACGAAGTTATTGTTAACATTTGATTCTAAAACAATAAATATCACTTGAAAAGATAATTTGTTTTGAATAAAATAACAAGCTAAATAAGTAGCAGTAGAGATGTTTTAAAATCTTACGAGCTCTGACCTTCATATGCACAGAAACATAATTCCGACCGTCGCCTAAATTATTCTACATCCTAAAAACATTGCACCTATTATTCACAGTCTCTCTCGAGCTCTAGCGTAAACAAGCCTTTGATCCGATTACAAATATCATAATAAAATGCCCTATTCTTTATTATTTTAATTTAAACAATAAAAATATATATAACGAACGTTCGCCAGTTGACTTTATTGATGCCCGAGCGCCTTAGCTCATTTCTAGTTGTGATGAGGCACGTGGTCTAATTCTGAGTCAATGTTTTCACAACGTGCTTATTAGAAGAATTATGGGGATACGCCACGCCTTTCGCGCATTTCGCGGCTCATGAGATATTAAAAGATCTCTACTAGTTGCAGCAATTCAGAAAGTAAAAGGAAGGCATTTTATTCTTCTTTTTCTTTACTTTTTCTTTTCTTGACTTAATTATTTCTAAATCTGATTTGTGTATTAAAAACGTTGAAGTATTAGATATTAGTTTCTCAGATCATAATGTGACATCTTGTGATATTGCATTAACCTGTAACGTGCCTAAACCTATTGTAATTGGGAAGCCTTTCACCGTGATGCTGCTAGTATAGATTGGAATCAAATTTATAATATTAATTCTTTGATTGGTAAAGTAACATTTTTTAATGAATCTATTATGAGTTTTTTCGACAGACATTCTCCATTAAAGAAGCGTACTTTTAAATCTTCTAAACAAAGAGAACCAGGGTTTACTGATACCTTATGGGAAATTAGAAAACTTAAAAATAAGGCTTGGCTAATATTAAAAAAAGTAGAAATGCTGCACATAGAAAATTTTTTTTTGACATTCGTAATTATTACGGTAACGGTGTAAAGGGAGAACGCGCTGTTTTTTATTCCTACAATATAAATAGAATTAAAAATAACTCAAAACAGTTATGGTCAAAATTAAAATCGTGGGGCGTTGTAAATGATAAGACTAAATAATGAAAATGTTCCTGGCGAGATCTGCAATGCTACTCTCATTAATAATAATTACTTCATTGACTCTACTCCTAATTTAAATGTTTACCAAGATTACATCTCTTACCTTTATAATTTTAAATATAAGAACAATTTACATTTTACATAGGTATTATTATGGACCTTCAGCCTTCAGATATCAATAAAGTTCAAGACATTATAACGAAACAAAAATCTCATACAATGGGTTCAGATGGCATTTCTGGTAAAATGCTTCAGTTATTGGTTAAATGGGTATCCGCGCCACTCACACACATAATAAATTTTTCATTAGAGATTGGCAACAATAGAAAGTTACTTGTATTAGACTATTACCAGAGAATACTATATCAACGAGAAGCGACAGCAAGGCTTTCTGCGTTAACAGTTTTCGTATGCGCATGCGCGAATTGGGTTGTGTTGTTGTCAGTTGTCAGTGGCTGTCAGAGCCGTCAAATATAAATAGAAGAAACGAGTAATAGTTTTTTGGCGGTGGACAGTTGTGTTGTATAATGTTAATTAATAGTGGATTTATTTGTATTGTATTTCGTTTCCATCTACAATTAGAATCAACTTGAAATCAATAAAATGCATGGTTATTATTGTGCTTTTCGCGATTGTTCATCCAAAACTGGTGAAGGATTAACCCTTTTGAGATTACGTAAGGATTAGAAAGGTAATTATTATTATTATTATTTTAAGTACCTACCTATAAACTGTAAATCAGAAAAAAGTATTTTGATTTTTAAAATAATGTGGAATGTTTTCTTGTAATATGGTATTGCATAAGTACAGAGAATATCTTTAGGAGAATTTTTATTTTTGTTTGCAGTGCTCGAGTGTGGATAGAAACTTGCAATTGACTCGATTTATTGCCTAGGATTGTGGATGTATATAAGAATTATAGGCTTTGTGAACACCATTTAGAAACCAAATATATTGGTAAAGGGAATGTAAGAATAACCTTATTGCCAAACGGAATACCTATACAGTTTCCTCAACTTAGAAATGGGTAAGAAGAGCTAGAGGCAAAAATTGTGGAAGATTGTCCTAAAGAAGTTATAGCATTGTCAGCTACCTATTTTTAAAAAAACTATTTCAAATATTGCTTGCAGTAAAATATTATATCTGCTTAATAAAAATATTAGTTGTAAAACATCTTGTTTTATTTTTCTTATATATTATACCTAATTTGTCTACATTTTACCACAGTTATCATTGTATTATATGAATAACGTTTGATACTGATGCAGTTCGTTCAGTGTACATCTATTCAAAAGTGTAACTTCTCTCAGTGTAAAAGTTTGTGTTTCTGTCAAATCGATCGACTCTAGCGTGACCACAAAACATTAAAGGAACCGCCGATTCTGTCGCTTCTCGTTGTTATTGTGTTCTCTGCTATTACCAAAAAAGAAAACTTCAAAACAGTTGAAAGTTCTGCATCCAATCAGTATGCTCTCTGTTCCTCTCAAAATTGCTGAATCTGCTATTTTTGATAAATTGTTTGAATATTGTGTTGAAAATTCAATAATTCCTATAAATCAATCAGGTTTTCAGAAGGGGATTAGTTCTTCACCATTATTGGCTAATGTAACTAATGACATTTTGACAGCTATCGACAATTCTCTGATTTCGTCTCCAACTTTACTGGATATGACTAAGGCATTTGACTCAATTCACATCAATTGCCTTATTGTTAAACTTCATTATGGTATTTCTAGCAATATATTGTGCTAGTTTTGTAATTACTTATACGGTAGAGAACAGTGTACTAGATTAAAACAGATTCCTCGATACTAACATCACCTTATAGACCAGCTGGTTCTGGTATTCTTCAGGGATATATATTAGGGCCACTTTTGTTTAACATGTTTACAGCAGATTTGTCGAGAATTTGTTTGAATTGTAAATTAAATATGTACGCTGACGATCTACAACTCCTTTATAGTTTTAAGCCTTCTAATTTAAATATTGCCACAGCAGTTATTAATAATGACTTGCAAATAATTCATGACTGGACCATAAAAAATACTTTATTAGTTAATCCTAATAAATGTCAAAACAATCCATTTGGAATATCAACTCAATTACGAGGTCTGGACAATTTTACCGTTTTCATTAACAATGAAAATATTTCTGCAGACAATGTTAAAAATCGTGGTCTGACATTAGATTCATCGTTCTTATCTAAAGCTCTTTTTAAAGCTTTCTTATCATTAAAACAGTTGCAATGCTTTAAAAAGTATCTAAATCTTCACACCAAAGTTTTACTTAACGATTATTTAATATTATCTCACTTGAATTATGGTAATGTTGTATAAAAATACAAAATTGTTGCGTTCGTTTTATTGCGACTGTCCTGCAGTTTAGTCACATAACTCCATATTTACGTCCCTTCAATTTGTTGAGCATGTCTGAGAGGAGACTTATTCATTTTGCCAGTTTTATACTCAACATTTTAAAGAATAACAAACCTACATATTTATGTGATAAAATAAAATGGAGATCTGAAACACAAACTAAAAATTTGATATCACCGAGTAGCAAAGCGTGTATTCCTTCCCATAAAACTGAAAAATTTTAAAAATCATTTTCGTATTTAGCTTCTTATGTTATTTTGTCAGTGACAACCGTTAAACATATGTTAAAAAATAATATATAGGTTTTAGCTGTAACTATTTAACTGCGTTTTGTTTTTATTTTTGTCCTTCTTATTGCTCTGTTTATTATATTTATTTGTTTTTAATTTGCTCTCTTTGCCGCAGGAGGTGTTGTAAATCAACTTTGTTGATACACTTTCCTTTTGTAAAAAACGTTGTTTATATTTCTTTTTTGCAATAAATGTATTATTATTATTAAACATCTTGCTAAAAATTAAAAAAAAAATAGTTTGCCTTAATTGTTTTTTTTTAAATTGTTGTCTTTTGTTGAAATCATTGAACAATTTTGAGAAAAACCCTATTGGCTGATGTATCAAAGTGAGACTTCTATACATAAATATTAGTTTTTAATAAACTAAATATCATTAAAGTAAAGCTAAAACTTTGATGTCTCAGTTTTTAGTAATTTTTTTTTAATAATGTAATTTTATTTTTATATTTTAATAATAGAATACATTGATAAAATAAGATGTAATTTTGGGATCTCGTTAGATTTTTTCGATTTACTTTTCAGTTGTTATTTATGCGACTTGGGGCAGTGGCAAGAGACCTATAATATTTGGCGGTCCTTTAACCGATGAGTATACGTTCCTCAATATTAAATTTCGTTGGGGACCAAATGAAAACGAAGGCACTGAACATATGATCAATGGTTGCAGATATGCTATGGAACTACAAGCCGCCTTTGCAAAAGGTGTGGCCCAGCAAAATTTCGACATTGTAGAGGCAGCCAGGAGTGGGTCGCTATTAATATTAAGTTATATGTTTATGGTAAGTACCTACTAGAGTTAATACTAAAGAGTGAAAGTCAGTAGAGTCAAACTGCGTACAAAGACCTGTTTTATAGGTAACTATTAAATCATATATTTTTCAAGAAGGCAGACAAACAACATGTAGATATTTTAAGAGGTGTTTACTAAGGTAGTTTTATGAAAAAAACTTCAATATGAGGCTTAAATGCTTAGTTTTCAGTACATACACAGGGTGGTCTTAATTAAACTCTGAAGAGTATTTTTAAATATTTTCGAAACGCACATTTTCGAAATTTAGTACATGTTTAGTACATGGCAAAATGTTTTGCCTTACATTACAGTGTATTTATCACACAAATCAAAAAATCATAAATTTGTAAAAGTTCGTGGATTAATAATATGTTGGGGATGTCTTTTTTCATAAATGCATCTGCATTACAATGCCATAAACTTAATGTATATCAGCCTTTTCAGCATTTATAAAGCAAATATCATGTCACATATTAAATGTCATTGCTACAAAATGTCTATTAGCATAAAGCAACTTTATACCTACCGAGCTATTCTACGTCTGGCGATTTTTGACCTAGTAAACTGTTCGCGAAATTCGTTAAAAATTTGTAACGATTGTCTAAAAAGACTATCAACTTTATACAATAAAAATCAATCATGGGATTTAAAACTTATGTCAGATTAATATAGACACGTAATGCAACATACAAGCATGTATCAAAATTTTATAGAATGTAAAAAAATTAGTACTACTGAAACATTATTAAAAGTCACTTAAAATTCTAAAAAATGGCCAGTAAAATAGAACCACTTCTATTATATTAATTTCTTGGTCCATTCACTGGAGCTAGTAAATTTACCACTGCTTCTGTATTACATATGCCAATATACTCGTATGTATGACGTGGTCAACTTTTTGATTTATTTATTGGAACAAAAGCGGACAAATGCTAAACAATTCGTTTCAAGTTTAGAAATTTGATTTCATAAACCATTTAATTTTTAACTGGCTGATGAAATATTTTAGTACATGCAGAGTACATAATTTAATAATAATTTTATATCTCCGTTAGTCACTTTTATATTTTATCTGATTTACCGTATAATTTAGCGACAGACTGTGGGATCAAATGCAAATAATGTTTTTGCACTGATAAACATAAGAGTACTTAATGTGTTTAAAAACGAATGAGAGAAAACAATTTAGACGCGTTGCCACTACCTATACCTACATATGTACAGTACATACAGCCACTTTTCTAGAACCGTCGACAAAACATAAAAACAAGCCGTCTTCCTAATTGTATCTATACGGAATTATAAAAGCTTCTCACAGACTGTTCCCTGATTTTCTCTATACTCTAATATTTTGTTATGTATTTCTTTACTCATTCACCTTTGCTCAATATTCCTACATAGGGTGTAATTTAAGTATGTATTTGGGCTATATACATACAAATTAGTTGTTAGCCTCATAGTTTGTTATACAGTATGTCCACAGAAAAGGTGCTGAGTAGGAAAGACTTTCTTATTTTTCATTTTATCGAAAAAAGTTACTTTTGATTGAAAAAATTTTACTGGTTCTTAAAGTAAGATTGGAATAGAAAAATTTAACGTTTAAAAAATTGAAAAAACTTTAAATGATACAAGAGTAAAGTTATTTGTAAAGATGTCAAAGTAAGTTAGGTACTAGGAAAAGTTGTTCAAAAGTAAAAGGCAGTCTCTAATAATAATTTTCGACAAAATCGGCCTACTTGTATTTATTTGTAATCACCTTTTCTGTGGACTTACTGTATACAGGGTGTTTCGCATAAGAACCGACACAGGGCAGAGGAAAAGTTGGCTATGAATTTAAACGTCAAACTTAAGGATCAGAAAAAAAGTTGGAATAAGAATAAATTAATAGAAAAACAAACAACTCGAACAAAAGAAATAACATACAATTTGTACTGATAAGTTATAAAATGATCACCGTTCTCTCAGGCATAATTTTATTCTTCGTCGAAAATTGAAGTCTATCCAATCCAATGGCCAACTTTTGAATTTTTGATTATTTAAATATAGTAAGCTACAAAAGCATTATTAGTTATTCGTGTTTTTGTTGAAAACGACAAAGTTTTTTGAAAACTAACAAGAATAAGAAAAGTTTTAGAATTAAATTCCTCATAAAATAAAGTAAAAATTTTTAAGTCTCCCAGCGGGTTAAAAAATTCTGTCACATTTTAATAGTACATCATTCCGTATCAACCCTTCAAATTGCTTCAATTGAACTCTACTTACTGTCGATTAATGCACTTGATACACTCACACCGTGTACCAAATTTGGTTTTTCAAAGTTTAAGTATAACTGGAATATTGTTTTTTTTTTTCGAAATTTGACACCCCACTTTCAAAGCCTATAACTTATCAAAGATGCAGTAGTATAAAGGTAAGTTACGTTAAATCACCTAATTTTGGGTTCCCCTACATGCCCTTGACGATTAAATATTTTATTTTTTCTAAATATTACGTCAACATTTAAAATAATCCACTGTAAATACTAGGTTACTGGATCTTAATATAAAATTTCAAATTTTTTCTACCAGTAAATAGATTTAACATCACAAATACTTATTTATCCTTAAGCTAATAAGCTAATATACAGGGTAGCCCATCGAAAACGTACCGCAAGGCATTACAGGGTAGTAAAGAACTTTTCGGCAAAATCCAAAAACAGGTCAAATTTGTTTCTGAGGGGAACAACTTTTGGCTCAAAAAGCATACCAAAATCTTCAACCCCCTAAGTGGGGGTGCTATCCCCTAAATTTTTTCAAATGGGAATGGGGGTCAAGTGGGGGGTCATTAGAAAGGGTTTTTAATTCTCTATACATCGATTCTTACTTTTTGAAAATCGATTCATTATTTTAGAAAATAAGCATGCAGCTTTGAAAATACGAACAATATTTTTGACGAGAAATGCGAAAATCCAGATCAAATTCAAGGTCACCATCGGATAGCCAGGGAAAAATCCTAAACCCCTAGTGCTTTACTTTTACCCTACACCTTTAATATGCCCAGATATCCTGCCATTCCAGTACTTTTGGCCCACCCTGTATACTTACTACTTATATACTTATTTTAGACTTATGTTTATCAATAATTCTTCTTTGTGGAATGTAATGTTGCATTTATTTTTTTTGTAGGTAACACCAATAGATAACCCTTACGTGGAGCCCATTGTATCAGCCCTACGCTATATTAAATACCCAGGGGGCTGCGTCTCCATTGAACCAATAATTATATCCTTACTATTACCAGACTTTTCGAGAGATTATTACACGTATATGGGATCTATGACATTCCCTCCATGCACAGAAGGGGTAAAGTGGATTGTTAAACCAGAGCCACTTCTAATTTCTTCGAAACAAGTTCGTAAATTTAGAAAACTGCACGGACTTGGGGGGCCAATACTTATGAACACCAGACCTGTCCAAAACGTTAACAATAGGGAAATTTTTTATTATGATTAATTTATCAAATTGACTTTGTGCTAATAAATATATATAATATTTTGTTATGATTAAATTATTTTCTATATTAATTAATAATTTAGGAGTAGCTCAGGACAAAACTTTAGTTACGCCGACACTATGATCCTTGTCTTCCAGAAAAAAACTATGTTGAGACTTATTCCAGTACATAGATATATATAGAAAATATTAAAATTTATGTCATTTTATTATCCAGTCCAAGCTAGATCCTTGGTGAAAAACTGAAGAATATACACTTAAGCATGCAGTACCTATTCATATGACTGCAGGTTTCAGCTCATTAATATCAATATTTTAAGAACACTTAGTTGGGTTATAAAAAATGTAATGCATTTATATCATTCCTAGTCCTCATAAAGTATGTTTTTTATGTATTTATGCTTTGACTATTGTGTATATAGTCAAGGATTTATGTAAATTTCTTATATCAATTTAGAACAAGAAACGCCCTGTAGAATTGTAGCCGTAGAATTAAAAGACAGCCTATATATTATGAGCTGCTGCTTATAGCACGTGCTTATATTTATTGTTTGGATTTATACAATCTAAATAAATAAAATAAATTAATTGCTTTCAAAAAGAATTAACACAAACTCGATAAAATTATAATCTGTGTTTAGTTATCCACTGTATAGTTTGCTACTTATAACTCTTGTGTGTTTAATGCTCTGCTCCATAGATGACGGCACCTACTTAAGATGAAAGCTTCCGACAGCGTTTATATGTCAGAATACTACTACGATCACTGAACAACAAAGATAAGTTATTTTGATATGAATAGAATAATTATTTAATTATAAACCCTTAACATATTAATTTTGTGCTAGTATGACAAATATGTTGTGTGCTTGAAAGCATAAAAATTTATACTTCTTGAAATAAGTAAATAAATTAGTTATAACAGTACGGGATTTACATAAACGTGGCCATTATAGTTCAGTGTACGTAGTGACGTTTGAATTGAAGTTTGTCAATTGTCAGTTTGTCACTGTTTTACTGTTTTGTTGAGAACTAATTGTTGATGTTGCTGTACATTTATATGAATTAATTATTGTAATAATAATTAATTTAGCAAGATGCAATCACATAGTGGTGTTCCTATTCTTCAATGGAGTCCTGACAAAAAATACAGCGATAGGGAAAGGTATTATAAATATAACCTAAAAGTAGGGCATATGTTATTATTTTAAATATGTTCTTGTAGGTGGATATGCATCTATCCTGCATACATAAACAGCAAGAAGACTTTAGCTCAAGGCAGAAAAATAGCAAAAGAAAAATGTGTTGAAAATCCAACACACCAAGAGATTAGAGACGTCTTGGTAGCAGCTGGAATGAAAGTAGGTGTCGAAAACAAACTCTATAGTAGAGAAAGGAGTAAAGAATTACAATACCGTGGTCGAATTAGAGTACAATTAAAGAATGACGATGGAAGTTTGTTTAATTCAGAATTTCCTACCAGGGAAAGCATTATGAATCATTTAGGAGAAATGATTCCAAAACTAAAATCTCGACTAAATAAAGGTGCCGGTGAACAACCTCTTCAGAGTACTGGTAGTAATAAAGGAAAAGGTAAAGGCAAGGGACGAAGATAAGACTTACAAAATTCCATTTATTTTTCATTTCACTTTTTTTTTTATTAAAAATCAAATTATATTGTAAATTGTCTATAAATTAAAATAAAGAGAAATATATCTACTAAAATGTCATAAATTCCATTAAGAATGAAAAGATTATAAGCTTTTACATATGTAAATCCAAAATAATTAATTAATTGATGAATTACAGCAAACTGATTTACTCTATACTGTTTTAATTGGTGGCATAGTAGACTTCTTCCATCCAAAATCTGAGGCATGCCTTGCGATATATTTTCAGTAGTATTTTCCTGCCCTTATTTTACTTATAATTATGTAGTTACATCGGTTTAAGAGTCATATACTTTTTCTTTTTAAATACTTAAAAAAAGATTTGATTAGCTCATTTTTTTAAATTTAAAATGCTTTGTACCTTGTGTTAAAAGTACGGAGGTATTTTTGGCTAAATGGGAATTTAAGAAAAAAAACTTTCTGAAGGTCAATGTTTTGTCTCTTTGTTGAGACATCTTCAGAAATATCAGAAAAAGGTTTCCATAATACTATTCCATTGAAAAAAAATATGTTCTAGTTATCACAGCATTTGTATGTCATAATAAGCATTTATTCATGTCAGCCTTTACAGGATATGAAGCGTCAGTAGGAATACAGAAGAATAAAAATTGAAATACAATTTAACAAAGTTTGTTTTAACGGTTGTCATAATTGTAAAATTCCTGCAAACTGTAAAAACAGTTTTGTAAGAGGAATGAGCGAAGCTCCCTACGAAATTTATTAATGTTTCTTTCTTCTCGTATCGGTGTCGGTAAATTATTAAATATCGTTCCACAGAGATAGAAAGGCCCTTTCTTATCCATAGTTAAATTAAATTTATTTATCAGTACGTTGTGTTTCCCCCTTGTATTATGATTATGAACATTGACATGCCTTGGAAACAGGTTACTATTCATTTTGATAAAAACACTTGCCTCATATATGAGGACACATGGAAGTGATAAAATTTTATCTCTTATAAGTGTGGGGTGACATGATTCCAAGGGTTTCAAAGAAAATATTAACCGAATGATTTTTTTTGGTAAATAAATACTCTGAGTCACAACTATACTCCGCGGTCGAAATTATAATGAGTGACTAAGACATAATATAAAAACACTATTACCGTAATGCGTATAAAATATAAAATGATTTTTATATGGTTCAATATTATTTATCTTTGTGCCGCTCGCTACGCACATCGATAGAATCTATAATCGTCTAGAGACCGAGTTACACTGAACGTCGATCTATATTCTATCTCTGTCTTTTGCACTTGGTAGGGAATAGGGAAATGCTTTTTTAGTGGGTGTAAACGGACTTGATTTAACCCGTCCTGAGAAAGTCATAGCATCAGCGTAGACGAGAAATTTATAAATTAAAAAAACACAATTGGGACGTTTTAAAATTCTGTAATAATTAAAATGGATCAAAGTGCCTGTTATAGCAAACCGTAAAAAATATTAGATGTTATGTTTTATTATCTTTTTCATTATTTTCTATATCTTGTTGCCTTTTACGCAGACACGCTAATGGATTTTCGTTCCCGGCACACTTCATCCCCCTTACTAGTCCAAAAGCTAGCGATGAATCACTCTCTATAATTTCGACCGTGGATCCCCAATAAATTATTAGATATTTCATATGAGAGTAAGCCAGTGCAAAATATATATATAGTAAATATTGTCTATTCATACAACCCTTCAGATTTCTTATGGCAAAAAAGGCTGATTTCATTTTGTTTAATACATGGTTAATATGGTTGCTCCAGTTAAGATGTTCATCTATATATAATCCTAAGAATTTAGAATATACTTTAAAATAAAAAATAACAAAGATAACTGGGGGTGGTACTTAAACCAGTCACACTGCACTTATTCTATTGTCTGCAATTTTGATGTGACATGTTAAATTTTGTCATTTTTTATCAGTATCTTGCGTTGACAAGTACTTATATCTAGGTACCAAGTGTTGTATATATACCTACTTACCTCAATTTCAAAAACAAACAGCTGCTTTGTTTTATAACAAATTACATTTAAGTAACTGTATTTAACACAGTACATATTTATAGTATACAGGTGCTCGTTAAGTACGATAATACAAAAGTTGTTTACTTTAGAAAGTTCCTATGAATTTATGGATGTTTTTGTGATAGTGTGTAAAAATTTGTGAAAAACCTCTATAAATCACACAAAATCCATTGTATTTTTGAACTTACCCACACAAAAAATAATGGCTACCTTTGGTAGGTAATTCCATTAAAATTGGTTTATTTTCACCCAAGGAAGCTTTGCTTAAATTATGTACCATTATTTAGGGAACACCCTGTATATTTATTTATCCGAGTTCTGATCTTAGATACAGTTAAAATTGTAGAATCAGATTGTAAATTACTGACATAGAGCGCCATTTAACATGTCTAATGTTGATTTTAAACGATAAAAATGAAAATGTAAAAATTGCATGGTTTTTACACTCAAAAGGTTTAATTAACCACAAAAATCTATTGAAACTTTTAATTGGATCGATCACTGGTCTTTCTTGTTATCAGTTTTATTTTTGGGTCCAGGAAACTTGAAGTAAGGTCTATTCAACATTGAATCACATTTTGAAACTTGAAATTTACTGTCTACTCTTCTCGTTATGTTTCTAAAGGGTTCTAACAATAAACTTTGCGTCAAAGTTCAACGGGAGTGAATCAAAATGGAAGAATTAAGTATTAAGTACCTACAATATTTCAATCTCCTTAGTTATTGGGCTTTCTGATTTTAAACCATCTTTTTATAGTAGGGTCCTTTGAATTTACTACAATTTTTCTTTTTCTTTTTAATAGAAATATAGTTGTTTTAGGTATTTTTTGTTAAACACTAGGTAGGTATATTAGAGGATTAATGTAACTGCATTATAAAAATCAATTTATTGGATTTGCTATGTACCTAGGTACCTAAGTACTGGGTTGTGGTAAAGTAATGGAAGGACTATGGCATCATGGAAATATTTTTAAAAGGAATGTATTGAGTATTTCGTATATAAATATAATACAAATGCCTTATAAGAGGTGTTTTGTACTTCTGGAATATATCAAAATTTAATAAAAGTCAATTTTATATTGATATCTTTTTTGCATTTCTTTGAAATAGTTGCATTGCTTTCTCAATCATTTTTAATCACTATTATTTGACACACTTAATTTCTTGGGTAAATTATCTATAGATTTATGTATATATTATTATATATTGTATGTAAAAGTATATATTATTATATATTTTCAGTACTCAAATATTACCGAATGTGTTACAACTTTTTAAATGTAGTAATTATATTGTCCTATGAACATGAAATCATATACAAGTCATGTAAATTAAACAAATTTATTAATTTTTTGTATTATAAAGAAAGCATTTTACAAAACTGGAAATATATATTTATAATAATCAGAATTAAATTTAATCATCTCTATCATATAAACTAGGATCTTGAGTTATTAACTCAAAACTGGAGTTCTTGCTCGTTATATTTCGACTTGCTCCAACAATTGCAGATGAATGGGAATTAGTTCCACTGATCCCTAGAAAATTAACAGAATTATATATTTTTTCAAATGGTTCAATCTTTTGATTGTACTAAACGTTATAGGGTCTATGGAAAATAGGTAGATAATTGATTTATTCATATTGCTTTTCTGCAGTGCTACCTAATAGGTAGTTAGATATTTGTATATTATATTTTGTTTCATTTAAGTTATGATAAAATACAAGAGAAACGAGTATTTTCATTAAGACGGTTAATTAATGAAAAGATTTTAAAATTTGCTATATTTTATCACGTTTGGTGCCACTAGAGTTTAAAGGTGAGTCCGCTAAGATTTGGGACCCATCTAAACTATTAGAATTAATATTTCTTTTATATAAATATCAATATTTAGCAACAAATATGTGTTAGGTGCCCCAACCCAAAATAAACCTTAAAAATCGCTGAACCATGTCAAATATGGTTTTAAAAGGGACACATTTTTACAGAATACAATGAGTCTAGTCCCATCCCCTACCCTCCAGAGTTACACTCTTAAGGACCAAATTATCAAAGAAAGTTTATCTTACTATAAGCTTAGCATGTGATTTGTTACAATTAAAACGTACGAACGCCAACACATTTTAATATTCTAGTTAGTTAATTCTAAAATAAATTTGCTTTGATAATTTGACCCTAAAAGACAATTAAATAACGAGGGCTAAATGACACATTTTAAAGCATCTTTCGATTGTTAGCACTGTTGTATTTCATATTTTATTTGATCGATTTTTCTCTCTAAAGGAAAATCAACCTAAATGATGGAATGTATTGTTCAAAATGACAAAGTGATCAGTCACGTCACTTAATCTTAACCTTTTAGATTTCTCTCTGTAGGCCATCTGAAATCTAAAGGCGTTTGTTACAAAATACGCTTCTCTCCAGGAAAGAAAAGTTCACGCATGTCGGTTGTTGGCTACAAATGTGTTCAGAAATGTTCATACACCTACATTTTGAAAACAAACTTTTGATATGGACTGCTGTGACAGCCACTTAGATCCCATATTTTTAATTTATTTAAAAGGTTTTAATCTATTTCAAATAAATTCACATTTTTCTTTAAATCCCACTTCATTTTAACATAGCAACAGGAAGAACGGCTTACCTGTTTTTCATACAAAATAGGTAACAATGTTATAACGTATATAATAATAACCAACAAAGCTTTGACTGTGTGTTGCATATACATTATGTGAAGGATAAAAAATTATGTAAAAGATTATAAGGTTTGTTAAAAAATTGCGCGTGCTGTACCTTGTCTATAAAGGGTTCTTTTCGTGTATTGGTAGGTAGCACTGCCAGTGCCATACCTGGCAATTTTTAGGCTGCTGCCATCCTTAGTTTGAGTTTGACGAGTGAATGAGTAAGACTTACCTCAGTGTTTTTGACGATTTTTTGTGTGGCGAAATATCAATCACAGAGTTTGTCCGAAATTTTGCGTTAAAAACGAAAATAAGTGTAGCGAAGCGTTCAAAATGTTAAAGAAGACCTTTGGCGACGGTGCTATGTCGCAGTTACGAGTTATTTAAACAATGGTATAAACATTTCAAGAAGACCAAGAAGAC